GAGATTCATGAATCGGGTTTAATTCACAGAAATTTACATTCTGGTAATATCTTAATTGATGAAAATGGTGATGCTTACATTGGAGATACTGGTCTGTGTAAACCCATTGACCCTGCCAAAATCCGACGTTCATCTGAACCAATGAGATTAACTTTTCGCAAACGTACAAATTCGAGTCCAACAGAATCAAAATCAAAACCTATGAATCTTTTTAATGGTGTATTTGGAGTAATGCCATATTTAGCACCGGAAACCTTAATGTCTGGAATTTATACAAAATCATCGAATATTTATTCACTTGGTATGATTATATGGCAAATATGGTCAGGACAAAGACCATTTATTGAACGTCCTCATGATAAAGAATTGCAAAAAGAAATTGTAAAAAAGAATTTGAGACCTATTATGATTGAGGATATGCCAACGGAATACAAAGAATTGATCTCTTCATGTTTGGATTCAGATCCTTTGAATAGACCAAGTATTGAAGATATTGAAAAAATTTTAAATATGATTTTTAATGAAACAGGATTCGAGATTGGGATCAAAGGAAACGGAGAGATACGAAGGGTTCTGTATCAGGAGAGACAACGTATAATGCCTCATAGGAAGGCAAAATACGTTAGTAAATTAATTCCATTTTTGAACAAAAAAACTGATGCCCACGAGAGTGAGTATTGATTCAATTAACGTTTATTAACGTTAATAATTTTTTTGTTTGATTCAATTTTTGATTCAAAATTTTTGATTCAATTTTTGATTCAAAATTTTTGATTCAATTTTTGATTCAATTGTTGATTCAATTTTTGATTCAATTGTTGATTCAATTGTTGATTCAATTGTTGATTCAATTTTTGATTCAATTTTTGATTCAATTTTTGATTCAATTTTTGATTCAATTTTTGATTCAATTTTTGATTCAATTTTTGTTTCAAAAGTTGTATTTAACAGCAACATGTTCATATTATTCATATTATTCATATTAAATTTTTAGTCAAACCAGTTCCATTACGAAATGGAGCTCAAAATAACTTGGTTACGTCTAATGATCTTATGAATAAACTCGATTCAGGAATCGTTGAGGTAAAATGTGATTCAGGAATCATTGCGGCAAAACGTGATTCTCAAGTTATTCCTCAGGTTAATCCTCAGGTTAATCCTCATACAAGTCCACATAACAGCCCACAGCGTAGTTCTTTGGTTTCAAATAAACAATGTTCTGTTGTGATAGTAAATTCTAAAGAAAATAAACCAAGAGCATCAAGAGTTTTCACAATGGACAACAATTCTG